TCGGGGGTGAGGAAAGACATTGCAGCCCCCCCCTCAAGCCACGGCCCTGGCAGTCCCCCCGCAGCATGATGGCTGCACCGTTATCCCAGCCCGATTAACGACACTAATAACAGTCATTAATCATCGGCCGCATCAGGCAGCAGAGCCTGGCCCCAGCTGGTGGTTTGTGCTGAGGCAGCTCTGCCTGCAGCCCCGTGGGAGAGAGGCGGGGGGTGGTCCGGCAGCCCCCTGAGAAATGCTCATCCCATTGCCCGCTCCTACCTGCATCCCAAATCCCACTGCCGGTTCACATCCACCCCCTGCTGCCGGCTCCTGCCTGCATCCTGAATCCCACTGCCAGCTCACACCCCCATCCCACTGCCCGTTCCTGCCCGCATCCCAAATCCCACTGCCGATTCATATCCACCTCCTGCCACCCACTCCTGCCTGCATCCCGAATGCCACTGCCAGCTCACATCCACATCCTGCTGCCTGCTCCTGCCCACATCCTGAATCCCACTGCCACCTCACATCCACATCCTGCTCCCATCCATGCCTTGCATCCCGCTTGTGTTCACATCTGTGCCTGCGTCCTTGCAGCCGTGTCCCCTGTCCTGCTGTCCACTCATGCCTGCATCCCACAACCTGCTCACGTCCATGTCCCACATCCCACTGGTTCTCACAGCTGCATCCCATGTCCCTCTGTCCGCTCGCATCTGCACTCCACTGCCACCGAGCAGAGAGGAGCAAGGGGGACCACCCCAGCCCACGCATGTGGGCACATGCAGCTCCGGGTCCCCAAGGGCCACCAGTTGCCCCCAGCCCTTCCACCAGCTGTGCCAGAGCCATGGGGCTGAGCCAGTGTCCCCAGGGCCCCGGGGAGGGGACGTGTGTCCCCGCTGCTCAGAACGGGGTCACCTCATTTAGCACCACTTGGGTTTCTCGCTCCTCAGGGATGGTGCAGGCCAAGCCCCTCCACCCTCCGCCCCCCTTCCCTGCGTCCTCCTGCCACAGCAGGCACTGGGAGCATCCTCGGCACAGGGGACCTTCATGTCCCCGAGCACCACAGGACCCCAGAGACACTTCACAGCCTCCAAACCTGGCTGTCCCCAGGCCACATCTGAGGGCAGAGATGACAGACGCTGTCAGATAGCTCCTGGCCAAAGCTGACAGGATCTGGCATGAGGACAGCCAGGGTGTCCTGGTGGCATCCATGGCCCCGAGTCAGCGCAGTTGCGGCTGACTCAGGGCCGCG